TCCAGAATAAAGATGCTCTGAGGCATTTAGAGTGAAAGTTAAGGCCTGCAAATGTTATATTTTTTAAGGCTTGCTTGTGAATTGATTTGAATTTGTCATACATCTCGTGTCATTTAGGTCTGCTTTGGAGGTTCTGATTATTTTGTTGTTTAGATCTAAGAAAAGACTAAAAAATAAAATAAAATTGTATCTGATGCTTTGTCTCTTTTCCTTTAAAATGTCTTCTCTATTTTTTCCTCTGACTGGGGTGGGAGTGGTAGTTGGCTTTCTACCAAACCTTGTACTTCCTCACTGACACTCGTTCTGTTGCCAATAGGCGTGCTAGTTATTGCATTACGTTTCTTCAGGTAGCCCTGTTGGGAAAATTCAAACTGGATTTTAAATGTTATTGTCACTTCATAGCAAGTTGTTGAGAACTTTGCAAAATAATTGGCGGTCAAAGTTTGGCGGCAAATGTATTCAGCTTATATTGCTTTTTTTTGTTTTTTCGGTTTTAATTGATCAATAATCAAATCCAATTTCGTTGCCTTTTTGATGAATCGCTTAATGAATACTTGTTCGAATGATCCAAACGATGTTGGGCAGTAATTTGTGTTGTTCATATTCTGTTGGATGCATGCTCATTTCCCCTGCTACTGTTACAGCATTCGAGAAGGTCTTCTGAATCTAGTTCTTCTGGATCATCTTCATATTCTTCTAGTAGTGATGATGAGAGAGCATCGAGAAGATCTAAGTCCACTTCTAAGAGGTCAAAGAAGGAGAAGAAGCACAAGTCAAGAAGCAAGGTTGCGGATGATGAAAATGAAGACGCAGATGGTCCAGTTCCCCTTTCAAGATTCTTTGGAAACATCAAGAGCTAATATAGTGATATCATATACCTGGCTGTGTACCGAAGATCTAATTTTACTTTCATTTTTTTGTTTGTGTTAGAATGTGAATTCTGATCAGCGTTAGTTTCGTATAGTCTATGTGTACGTTCTTTACAGGAATTTAATTTTGTATGGCGTATTTATGTTTTAGAAGGATCATTGTCTGGGTTTATCCGAGCGACGGGGGACATCTTGAGTTGGACAATAATCATTTGAAATTGCCTGGCAATGAATTATTTTTCTTTGGGAATTGGGAGGCGTCTCCACTGTTTGACCAGTGATGAGAAAATCGGATCGGACAGGACGGTCGGACCGTTCTGGCTGTCAACCAGTGTGTTCAACGGTTTGGTTCACATGATTAGACTGTTTATATAGTTAGACCATTTTCAACCGTTCAGAACCGGTATTTGAGTCGGAAACCGGGGCAGGGATAGCAAAACCGGATGGTCTGAACAATAAAAAAAGTTGAAGAAGATGACGAAGAAAGCGGGGTAGAAGAAGAAAGAAAAAATCCAAAAAAAAATAACAGAGAAAATAGAGGTCAAATTTGAGCAAATAACTAACTCAGATGTATTTCAATCACAAACTGAAATCTATCTTTGGAACGATATGATAATCACAAAATGAAAAACCTGCATAAACACCAGTGGCGACAGACAGAAACACAGAAAGTTGAATGGCCACGACTTCAATCACAAAGATAAGGTTACAACTTACAAGAGTGAACTTCTTCTCTCACCACGTGGGTGCCTTTGATTTGATTTTAAAAACCAAAACGGAGCAAAAATAAAACTTCGGTCAAAGGCTCAAAGCCTCAAAGCATTAAGAGCTGTAAAAATAATTTAATATTATTAAATAAATTATTTTCTGCCTCCTAATAATTAAGTCTACGCTATTTTCTAAACAAATTAAGAAATATATATTAAATGTTTTATAATTTTTTTCTTAATAAAGCTTACAGAATAATTTATAATTAAATTTTATATAGTATAAATTAAATTTTTATGCATCTAATTTTATTCTTTTGTTTATAAAATTTTTTTAGATATTAATTTATTGCTTATTGTGCTCATAATTTGACATATTTGTTGTGCTATTTAGAATTTAATATTATATTCCTTATTCATATATTATCATATATGTATATAATATTATTTTTTAATTTAATTATTACATTAACGGTTCGACTGACGGTTCGATCGGTTGAATCGTAAAAACCGTGACCCGCTGATTTTTCCGGTTCAATCTTCGATCCGGCTTTTAAAACAGTAGTTTTGACATGTTAGGTGCCCTGTTGAGAAACCCAAGAAACGTCCCAAGCTGGAGTTTGCGAGCTCAACTTTTAGATTCTGCAAACATCAGTTTGAAGGGCGCAAACTTGAGTTTGCAGAGAAGTGATTCAAACATTGCATGCCATTCTCATGGTTTTGGAGCAGCCTAGCTGGATCGCCGTCATACTCATATCACCATTCGTTGTATTCGCAAGTCAAACAATGCTCTTTCACCGATTTTGTGCGATTGTGAAAACATAACGCCCACGAGGTCTCTACTTACTGTTAATACTCAAGGGCACAAACAACAGCAGAGTACACCTAGCTCTAGTCATCAAGTTCCGCCTTTTGCTTGGAAGATGGTGGATGCTAAGGATGAAAACACTGTTTTCCATGTACAATAACTTTAATAAATGGTTGGCCAAGTTCTTATCCTCTATCACCTACCAATCTCTATGCATAACTAATTTAATGTTATCGATAATATTTTCTAAGGAGTAGTTACCATTACAACCTTCCAAAATTAAATTGATGGCTTCAATACAATCATAATAAACGACAATTTTTCAAAAATTTCTTGTCCAACACAAGTTTAGATCATTGAGGTCCCGAGAATCTGAACAATGGTAGGAGGGACAGCCTTGTGTTTATAGCTACGTCCACATACCCAATTATTGTCATTATACCACTTCCAATCTTTAATATAATAGTAATACTTAGTTTGATTTTCAATTTGGTCTTAAATATACAACCTTAATATAAACCCAGTAGTTAAATATCCGTCAACTGAGTTTTAATTGACTCGGGCAGGCTTGGATCACAATCGTGTTTATAAGTTTGATTTTTTTTACTTGAAAATCTTGTTAGAGCACCGCTTACGTTATTGATATTCTCTTTTGAGTTGCTAGTTTGATGTTGATTAGATTTTAGTTTTCAAGTTTTACTGGCATTGTTTGATTAAAAAAATGGTTAATTTTTTGGGCCAAAACAATAAATTTCGATGGTAAAAAAAAATTCCATTCACCAGTGTCAAACAAATAGTTTTTTCATATGTACACCAGAAAACATTTTTTTTCATGTCATGCGCTGATGTCTTTGTCTCCTTTTTCCTGTGGGAAACGCTAAAGTTAAGGGTAAATTTTTATAAAAACACAAATAAAAGAAACAAACAAAACAATCAAAACAGGAAAACAAACCAGAACAAAAACTGCAAAAACAAACAAAAATGAAGTGTTTATTACTGGTCATGGATAGATCACCCAGGTTCGGGTCCATAAGCAGTAATAATTGCCCTATGAAGACATGTTTTCGCTACAGCTCCGGTGGGTTCCCTTAACCAAGCCATTGCCTATGAGTCGGTGGCTCAGGAAAAAAAGTGATTTTGATACATTAATCATAAGCCAACAGTAACTCGAAGTAGTTTTCTTCCCCTAAAAATAGTCATTTCTTACAAATATGTAAATAATGATTGTTATTTTTTATTCGAGACAAGATGACATTGAGCAAAAAAAAACTTTACAAATTAAATATTGTTAGAATACTATTATGAAAACCAAAAAACTTAAGAAAATAAGATAAAGAAATTGTCTTGACGCCACTGAAAAAAAAAAAGCCATAAAACAACGCTAATATTTCCTGTCAAGTGAAAAACAAGGGATAGGAGGACTGAGCAAGAATATGATCCGCTTCTATCAATCCAAACTTATAATCTAGAATAATAAGACTTCCAGACATTTGGAAGGGAAAGTAGGACCTCCAAAGTCACTTTTTCTCTTTTTTTTAAAAGTTAAATAGAAGGAGGTAATTGTACTCTTTTACCATTTTTAAAAAAATGAATTTAACATTTCAACTTAAGTTTTTAACAATTTCAATTCAATTTGTTATTTTGATTTGGAATAACGAAAATTTCCACCCTTAAATTTGCTTCAACCATCCGTTCAATTCCTAGAATTTAATTTTTATCAGTGACATTTTAATAGCCGATTGCATGAAAAGAAAATTACATGTAATCTTGATATAAAAAATTATTTAGATATTTAGTTGGGTTTGGGTAATATAAAGAGATTACTTTTTATCTTTTAGAAAAATCTTCCTAAATAAAATGGCTGTTTCACATTTAGCTTACCAAAATCACTTTTTCTATTTTTTTTTTCCCAAGAGGTTTATCTATTTAAAAGTTAAATAGAAGGAGGTAATTGTACTGTTTACCTTTTGTTAAAAAATGAATTTAACATTTCAACTTAAGTTTTTAATGCCAAACAAACTCGTTTAGTTACATAACATTGTATTCTCACCCATTACACTTTATTATATTTCTACTAATTCTACAAACCAATGGCTATGAAGTTTCATAATTATACATAAATAGTATTTATAATTTTGAAGAAACATATTTCTAAACACACATAAGCTAACCATTAACTTAAGAATGATAATATTTTCATGAATGGTAAGAAAATTATTACTTCAATAAAATCGAATAAAAATATTAAAGCAGAAGTGCATATTGAATTTTTTAAAAAATTTTACATAAGATTTTATTTAAATTTTTTAATTTTATAGTGTCTTTAAAATTTCCAACTTCGACATCGTGTATAAAAATTTTGACATTGAAATTTTAAATATTAATAAAATATTTTTTAGGGAAACTCTCCTAACAAAATACTTTTAAATGTCTCAAATTTGATTTTTTTTCTAAATAGCAATATGTTTTACAAAATTTTGGGTAAAGAATATTAAGATTAATGGACTGAAAAGATATTTTTTTAAATAAACTAAAATTTTATATAAACTTAAATATCCACAACGGAGTAAAAAAAAAAATTCATTACCCATTTTCATTTCGTTAACCCATGCGGCGGTACTGCCAGGTTTCCTTGCAGTCGCACTCCAGAAATTTCACAATCCCTAGCTCCCCCGATATTTCATTCAACTCGAGGTTCCATCGTTGCCGTCTCCGGCCTCCTTTCTGTTTCGTCGTTATCGGTGGCTTTGGCATCTCCTTTTTTTCTCTTTCGCCGGTGTGCGTATACCCTTCTACCTTCGTACTACTCTGCGAAAAAGAAGCAGGTAATCGCTAGTGTATATATCTTTGGCATTTCTTTCCCTTCGAGTGAAGTCTTCTGCGAAATATAGAGAACGAACAACTAATATAGAAGAATATAACATAACTCTGCTCGAACAGGAAGAACTAATATAGAATGAAGATGGCCGAATTATGTACGCCCAGCTTTGATTATGTGAAAAGATGTAATTTCGTGTACATGGAAGATATGGAAGACGCTACTGATTGTGCTTGTGAGCTCTGCTACTGTACGAGTCTTTGATGGCCGACTAGTGTATTAGCATATCTTGTATTTTTGTTCTTCGATTGCCAGATACTGTATTGGCATATTTTGCGGGATCCTTTGATGGCTGAATATCTTATTTGGTGCTATGAATTATTTCCCACTGATCTGTAAAGTTTTTTAATTGTTGTTGTTAAGTGGCATGCTGATTGAATGCTCTATCAATTATTTGCTGTTGTAATTGCTGCTGAAAATTGTTTCTCTGAATTATTTTTGTGATTGCATGTTTGTGGTGGATGAATGTTCACACACACGCACGCACGCGCACGCGCACACACACGTTTTTGGATGAATGTTGTGTAGCTTTGCTTTATAATTATGTATGAATATTGCTTTCTTCTAGATGGTTATTTTTTCCCTTTATTGGGATTTAATTGTTATTTTTATGATTGTGGACGACTATTTTTATCATTTTTAATATAATATTTTGAAATATGTAAATTATATTAATTTAATCATGACTAATTTGATGACAGATAAAGTATATGATTTGACCCTTGAATCTTGAACTAGTCCCTCATTATTTTATTTTTTTTAAGTGCCTTGCTTGATGTTGATTTTATGTATGCTGTTCATTAGCTGGGCTTGTAACGTGTTTCCTATTTGTGATAGAGATGACACCTTCCTGCTCTTTCACGAGTTACTTCTAAGATTGAGCATGCTTGAAATGAAAACCTAAAGAGGCTTCAGATCTTCCTGCTCTTTATATTAGTTGTTTCTTTTTCTATGTTACTTTTATTTTGATTTGTTTAGCGCAGTTTTCTGTCGACTGTTCATTTATTAGGACATGGCTGCTTCCCTACATATTCTATCATTCTGACGTTATACATCATTCTGTGATCCTGTTCTCGGTGTTTCTTTCTGCAAGAAATGATCCTTTGCAGGCATGACCTTTGTCTGATATGTGAGATTCCTGTTTGGTTCACAAGCTGTTAATCGACTCTTTAAGTTTGTTTTCGTCTCTTTACGAGGGGATTTGGGTGAGGAAGGCTTTTAAAGAAGTTATCATTTTTCTATCAAATGCAGTACCTTAGAACGACCTTTCTGGTGATAATTGGGTGTCTCTTAATACTTTAGAGTTGTTTCACCTAATTCTTTCCAAATGTTGGAGAAGAAAACCTTGCAATTTGCATTTTATGGGATCCTCTGGTTTGTATTTGCATCTGATATGCAAAGATGTTGTTCAGCTGATCTGCAGCATTGCTTGTCTATTAAGTTCAAGGGCTTTGGGAACAATAAGAAGCATAAAGTCCTTTAGTACTATGCATTTTTTTTCCCCAAGTTTGTGGTTTCTATTTGAGGATTAGGCGAGAGAATAATTCTGTTTTATTGAATAATTCTGAAGTAGAATGGTACAGAATATATAAAGCTAGGCTACGGTAAAAGATAAATGACTAAATGATAAAAAGAATCTATCATAATCTATCCTAATCAGGCTAGAATCTCAATCTGACTAATAAACTAAAAATACAATGATAGAAATAGATGAAACACAGCTTATTGGGCTTGGGCTTTATCTTCCAACACTCCCCCTCAAGCTGGTGAGTAGATGTCGATCATTCCCAGCTTGCTTCTATGTCCCTCAAATGAGTCTCTGGGTAGCGGCTTAGTAAACAAATCTGCTACTTGATTCTTGGTTCGAATGTGAGATAAATCAATGATACCACCTTCTATTTTTTCCCTTATAAAGTGTCTATCAATTTCAACATGTTTTGTTCTATCATGGTACACTGGATTTAGAGCCATTTCTATAGCTGATTTACTGTCACTCCAGAGTTTTATTGGCCCATTATGCATCAGTCTCAGCTCTTTTAGAACTCTAATTATCCAGATTCCTTCACAAACCCCAAGAGCCAGTGCCCTTAGTTCTGCCTCGGCACTGCTTCTGGAAACTACTGGTTGTTTCTTGCTTCTCCAGGTTACCAGATTTCCCCATAAGTAAGTAATGTATCCAGTAGTGGACCTCCTATCTAGTAAGGACCGCCCATGATCAGCATCCGTGTAGATTTCTACCCCCCTGGACTCTCCTTTCTTGAAGAATAAACCTTTTCCTGGATTCGTCTTCAAATATTTCAAAATTCTGTACACTGCTTCCATATGCTGTTCTTGCGGTTGATTCATAAACTGGCTTACAACTCCCACAGCATAACTTATATCTGGTCGTGTATGAGCCAGGTAAATAAGCTTTCCTACCAACCGTTGGTATCTTCCAGTGTCAACCGGTGTACCATCTTTCTTGTATTCCAGATTGCAATCTGTCTCCATAGGAGTTTCTGCAGGTTTAGCTCCAAGCATTCCTGTTTCTTGCAACAAATCTAGTGTGTACTTTCTCTGAGAAACATTTATTCCTTGTTTGGTTCTACTAATCTCCATCCCAAGGAAATACCTCATCTGTCCCAGATCTTTCATCTCGAACTCAGCTGCCAATGATTTCTTTAACTTACTTACGGCACTTTCATCGTTTCCTGTAATCACAATATCGTCTACATACACTATTAGGATAGTGATTTGATCACCAGCATGTTTTACAAAGAGCGTATGATCTGATTGCCCTTGTGAGTATCCCATCTTCTTCATTGTTGCTGAGAATCTTCCGAACCAAGCTCTAGGGGATTGTTTCAGTCCGTATAATGATTTCTGGAGTTTGCAGACCTTTGAGCAATTTGTTGAATTCTGGAGGCCAGCAGGTATCTTCATATATACTTCTTCTTTAAGATCTCCATTTAGGAAGGCATTTTTCACATCTAACTGATAAAGTGGCCAGTCTAAATTTGTTGCTACTGATAAGAGGACCTTAATGGTGTTGAGCTTTGCTACCGGGGCAAAGGTTTCTTGATAGTCAACCCCATATGTTTGTGTATATCCTTGTGCCACAAGTCTTGCTTTATATTTGTTTATGCTTCCGTCTGGATTGTACTTGATGGTAAAAACCCACCGACATCCCACAGTCTTCTTTCCTGAGGGTAAATTAGTGATTTTCCACGTTTCATTCTGTTTTAATGCTTCCAACTCTTCATTGATAGCCTGTTTCCAATTAGAGTTACCCATAGCTTCTTGAAATGTCTTGGGTACTCTTTCACTGGACAAGTTTGCTACAAACGTCTGCATTCTAGAAGATAATTTGTCATAGGAAACAAATTTACTGATAGGATGTTGAGTACAGGATCTTACCCCTTTTCTGAGAGCAATTGGCCACCCAAGTTCTTCAGGATCTAACATTGGATTGGAGACTTGGTTATGCCTCGGAATGTGAGAGACTCTATTATTCTGCTGCTCTTTTGAATCGACTTGTTCATTATCTGATTCAGTATTACACTCCTGGTCCATCCCTGTGCTCACCTCAACACCATTTTCCACATTTTGTTCAGTAGAGGAGGCTTGTGGGTTTGGATTTTCAGGTTCGGGTTGAGTAGAGGAATGTAGGTTTTCAGATTCAGGTACGGCTAGGTTTGGTTCAGGGTGGTTGTCTAGGCCTGTTTGAACTAGGGTACCCAAAGTTAGCCATTCTTCTGTGTCATAATTCTCCCCCTGAATGGGCAATTTGGGATAGTAGGCATCTTCTTCTGAAAACACAGCATTCTTAGTGACATAAACTCTCTTTGTTGTAGGGCAATAACACTTATATCCTTTTTGGGTAGGGGAGTACCCAAGAAAAATACATTTTAGAGCTCTTGAATCAAGTTTGTTTCCATCATCTCAATGTATGTACATGAGGTTTGGTGGTGGATTCCTTGCTGATCAAGAAATTCCTTCAAGGTTGTGCTGAGGTACTCTCTTGCGTTGTCACTTCTTAATATCTTGATTGTTCTTTGGAACTGAGTTTGTACGAATGTGTGGAAACTTCTGAATATGTTGAAAATTTCTGATTTTTCTTTCATTAGGTATACCCAAGTCACTCGTGTGTGGTCATCAATAAAAGTAACAAACCACCTAGCATTAGAGGTTGATTTAACTCTTGCGGGTCCCCAGACATCACTATGTATCAAGGTGAAGGGTGCTGTTGGTTTATAGGGTTGTATGGGGTAAGAAGTTCGTGTTTGTTTTGCAAGTCGGCAGGTTTCACAGAGAAAAGGAACTGAACTTTTATTCAATAAATCTGGAAATAAATGTTTCATGTAATCAAAACTGGGATGGCCTATTCTAGAGTGCCATAATAATACATCCTTATTTGAAGAATTTGAACTAAACAACGCCTTGCCCACTTGTTTATTGGTGATCCTAGAGCCTTCAAGATAATAGAGTCCGTCCCATTCTTTAGCAATACCAATCCTCCTCCTCGTTGTCAAATCCTGAAAAACGCAATCGGTATCATCAAAAAATACTCTACAGTGATGATTTTTAGTTATTTTACTCACTGATAGCAAATTACATGCAAGTGCCGGGACTAATAGAACATTTTTCAATTCTAAGTTATCTGAGATCTCAACACTTCCAACACCACATACTTTGGAAAAAATTCCATTAGCAACTTTCACCTTAAGATTCTCATCATAACAATACTTTAGGATTTTGAACAAAGTTTTATTACCTGTCATATGATCTGTAGCTCCAGAGTCAACAATCCAAGTGTTATCACTTGTTACCATGGCGTTTAAAGCTATAATGGAATTACCTGACTTTACCAGATTTGCTTTAGGGTTGGTGGTTGAGTTGTTATGTTTCTCTAGAATTCGTTTGAGCACTTGTAACTCTTCTCGGCTAAGAGTTTCCCCATTCTCTTCATTCTCGCTAGTCGCAGCAACATACCCCCTACTCTCTGGTCTTCGTTTTTGCTTTAGATTTGCTGGCTTGCCGTGTAATTTCCAGCATATGTCCCTAGTATGACCATTTTTGTTGCAATGATCACACCATCCTTTGGAGTTCTTCTTTCCTCTCTGTTCTGGTCCGTTGTTGCTCTGTATTGTCAACGCCGAACTCTCAGAGGGTGTAGATACACTTAGGGTAAGCTGCTTTCTGCTTTCTTCACACCTAACCATGTTGAAAGTTTCAAATAGTGATGGCAACGATTTCATACCCATAATTCTTCCTCTCACATCATCAAACACGTCAATGAGACCGAGTAAGAACTCATAGGTTCTTTCTTTTTCGACCAGTTCCCTATATAACTGGGCATCACTGCTACACTTCCATTCATGGACATCGAACATGTCCAACTGCTGCCACAGGCGTGTGAGAGCAGTATAATATTGTGTCACCGTCATGCTTCCTTGTTTCATCTCTCTTTGCAATTTTTTGATTTGAAACAGAGCAGCAGTGTTCTCCATAGCAGAGTATGTTCGTTTTGCAGCATCCCATATCTCCTTTGCTGTCTTAGCAAGTAAATAGCCTTCACTAATGTCTGTCGTCATGGAATTACATAACCAGGTCATTACTAGATTGTTTTCAGCAAACCAAGTGTCATACTTCGGGTCATCTGGACTTGGTTGCGGAGCCTCCCCAGTTATATATTTTTCCTTTCTTCTGCCTCGTAGGTACATAAGGACGCTTTGAGACCATTGTAAATAATTACTTCCGTTCAACTTGTGAGAGATCAGCATCTGCTGCGTTTCTGTGACCATTCCAGATTCTATTCCCGTAGGGGAAGAAGAGGTAGTCGAAACTGACCCAGAAGAAGAATGAGACGGTGCTGTACCTGCTGTTAATGCTGAAGGAGATCGACTCATTGATCCAAACAGAGGCGGAAACTTTCCATCCATCTTACGACGGTCTTCGTTCGCGTCAGGTTCACAAATCTGGTCGGTCTTATTGGCTGTCTTTGGTGCCGAATTACTCGATTAGGAGTGTGGCATCATGCGACTAGTTACCCTGACCTTAGTCGCTGTCTTGTATGCGGCCGAATCACCCAATTGTGGGCGTGACTGTATGCGACCAGCGAAGACGGTCTTAGTCGTGCTGAACGCGGCGACTTTCACTCTCTCTCTCTCGCTGGTCTTAGTCGCGCTGAAGGTGGCGACTTCCACTCTCTCTCACGCCGGTAGTCGGTCTTAGTCGTGCTGGACGCAGCGACTTCCACTCTCTCTCACGCCGGTAGTCGGTCTTAGTCGTGCTGGACGCAGCGACTTTCACTCTCTCGGTTGTTCTGCTCTGATACCATGAGGATTAGGCGAGAGAATAATTCTGTTTTATTGAATAATTCTGAAGTAGAATGGTACAGAATATATAAAGCTAGGCTACGGTAAAAGATAAATGACTAAATGATAAAAAGAATCTATCATAATCTATCCTAATCAGGCTAGAATCTCAATCTGACTAATAAACTAAAAATACAATGATAGAAATAGATGAAACACAGCTTATTGGGCTTGGGCTTTATCTTCCAACACTATTAGTAGAATAGAATTTTAGAGTCTATAGTCTGAAGTTTCTTTCACCATCCTGGGTAGATAATTATTTTTTGGCTTCTTTATCAAGTGCTGGAATTTCTTTTTTTTTAAAATCCTAAACTTATTAGTTTTGCAATGCTTTTACGTTTTTCTATTGATTCAAGGTTTTATTTCTGGTTGGGTAATATCTTATTCTTTTCTCTTCGATAAAACCACTTCCTTTATTGACAAACAAGAAGAACAAGAACAATGATGACATTGGAAATTGAAGGCCTGAAGAATTAAATCAATTGTCCAAGGATGACATTGTAGCCTTATTGTTTTGGTGTTAGTACTATTTAATGAAAAAAATATTTTTTAACCAGCATGTGTTCTATGCATTCGCACATAGCAGTGATAGCACGAGATGAGCTCCACTGTTTATTGTTTATTAACGATGTGGCTCCCCTATTTTTGATATTTTAATATATTGCTGATTATTTTGATTTTTATTTTCAGCATTTAACAACCGGAGCTTATACAATTAGTGGCTAGTTATCTTCAATTCTAACGAAAGGACAGCATGCAAGTTGTTCCAGCTGAAGGTGAAAATGCATTGTTACCTGTTGGTTCAAGGCCAATGGAGTGGTCTACTGTCCCATATAGGGCTCCACAAGCCCCTGGGCCAAATGGAAAGATGCGGACATCAAGTTTGGACTCACCAATCATGTTGCTGACAGGTCATCACAGTGCTATATACACCATGAAGTTCAACTCAGCAGGAACAGTGATTGCATCTGGATCTCATGACAGAGAAATTTTCCTCTGGAATGTACATGGGGATTGCAAAAACTTCATCGTATTAAAAGGTCACAAAAACGCTGTTCTAGATCTTCATTGGACTACAGATGGGACTCAGATAGTGTCAGCCAGCCCTGACAAAACTCTGAGGGCATGGGATGTGGAAACAGGAAAACAAATAAAAAAGATGGCTGAACATCTGTCATACGTGAATTCATGTTGCCCTTCTCGGAGGGGGCCGCCTCTTGTTGTCAGTGGTTCTGATGATGGGACTGCTAAGCTGTGGGATATGCGGCAAAGGGGTTCCATCCAGACATTTCCAGATAAATACCAAATTACAGCTGTCAGTTTCTCCGATGCATCAGATAAGGTATTCACCGGTGGTATTGATAATGATGTCAAAGTTTGGGATTTGCGTAAAGGTGAGGTAGTAATGACACTTCAGGGTCATCAAGATATGATAACTGGCATGCAATTGAGTCCTGATGGTTCCTATCTTCTTACGAATGGCATGGATTGCAAGCTTTGCATATGGGATATGCGCCCTTATGCCCCTCAAAATCGCTGCGTGAAGGTATTGGAAGGGCACCAACACAACTTTGAAAAGAACTTGTTGAAATGCAGCTGGTCACCCGATGGAAGCAAGGTCACAGCTGGTAGCTCAGATCGAATGGTCTACATATGGGATACCACTACACGACGCATCTTGTACAAGCTTCCTGGCCATACTGGATCTGTTAATGAGTGTGTATTTCATCCAAATGAACCTATTGTCGGGTCTTGCAGCAGTGATAAGCAGATTTATCTGGGGGAGATCTGAGGCTTTGACAACCGTAGGCAAGAGTTCTACTTGTATGTGCCTGGTGGGTTGGAGATGCTGGGTTACGTGTTTTGGGGAGATCTGGGTCGCTTGGTCAATTTAGTGACTGTAATATTCTGGCGCAGTATTTTCGCTCCTCGTTTTGTTGCAGAACATGTTATCTAAGATTTAGCATCTATGGGTAAGGTGTCATCGACACTGAACTTCAGGGGCTTATGTTTTGATCTGATGGTGATATCCTTATCCCTCTGAAATAGTGTTCCGAGGTGATGTAAGAACTAAGAATTATCCATTGTTATCAAATTCGTGAGTTAACTTTTGAGTTTAATATTTTTATATTTTCAGCTTATAAAATTATGTTAAGTTGTTGTTCGTTGTAAACTGGTTGAATTTACTAGTTTACTTAACGAATTTATTGTTTTTACGTTTTTAACTTACAAAATTACGGGAGTGTTTGGATGAGGCAAAACCATGGTTTGCAGAATAGCTTCTGGAGAATAGATTCTGGAGAGAATAGATTTTGAAAGAATAGATTTTCTGGAAAAGTAATTTTGATAAAGTGAGAGTGTTTGAATAATTATTGTCAGAAGTGCTTTTTGATATGTAGAAATTACTAAAAAGGACATAAGTTTAAATGATAATTATATATAATATATATTTCATAATATATGTTTATTTGAAGTAATAAATTTATTAATAATATATATTTTGGCAACATAATAAATATGGCATAAATAATATAAATAATAAGAAATTAGTGTGTATATATATTAATAAAATAAATAAATATGTTTTTAAAAAAATGATTTATTTTGCCAAATAATTGTACCCCTTGAGTTGATGAGTACCCCCTGCGTGCTTGTTCCCTCCGTAGCCAATAATTGTCCCTCCTCATAATTGTCCCTCTTCAGAAGCTGCGCCCTGCCTGCTTATCTGAAACTAAGGTTTTGTTAGGCAAAACCAAGGTTTTGTCCAAAACCTTGGTTTTAAAAAAAATGGGGGTGTTTGGCAAAAAAGCCAAACACCCCCTACATCAACTTACTCTTAAAATTATGCTAAATTTTTAGATTATATTTAGTAATTTTATATGTGAATTTTATAGAAAATTTTTTTTTGAATACGGTAAATTATGAGTATTAATGGATTTAATTTCAATTACATTTTAATTATTTAATTATATATTTTTAATATCAATTTATTAATAAAAATAAATTTTTATGAGTTATAATTTGAGTTTATATCCTTATCACGAGTTTGTTTAAATTTGTGAGTTTTTCGACTTTGAAATTATGATTGTGTCAAAATGGAGGATTATGAAGGTGATGGATATCTTTTAAGATTGTTTAGTATGAGGAACTCGTCGAATTATGTGGTTTGGAATATGAAAGTATCCAATTTGAGTTAATACTACTTCCGGTCCTTAATATAATCTCTTATTTGATTTTTATTTTAGTCTTAAATATAAGATCTTAATCTACTTTGTTTCTCGTATTCATGTATTTTTTTTAAGATAGTCCTTCTAACAATGATAGCTCTAGCAAATACACTCAATTAGCAATGATATTTTAAGAAAGACAATACCCATTTATTACAAATAACTAACTTAATTTTTTTTTAAACTTGGATCATTTTGTTCCTAGAGAGACTAAAATATATGATTTGAAACTTAAGAAACCAAAACTAAAATGATAACAAATTTAAGGGATTAAAGGTTATATTAATTCGTTTAATTTTATCGTTTTCTTGAATAGGTCCCTTTCCTTCGATTTGTTCCTCGTTCCTTCGATCGGCTAGCATTGACATGAACAAAGAATAGCAGCATGAACGCAGAGCCTTTGTTGAGATCGATCAACGTTTAAGATTCTTAATAACGAAAATAGAAGATTAAACTTCCGATTTCATTTGTCCGCGTTGCTTATGGAGAACTACAAAGATCGTTAACATTTTGATACCATCCTCTGTTGTCAATATAAGACGATAATAGCAAGTGACTAATTTGAAAAAAATTAATAACTTAATTATAGTTTCTGTTATATGATTTCTTTGCAATATTTATACGTACTATTAAATTATATATCAATTTATAAATTGAATCAGTTAGATTAGAAAAATAATAATAAATATAAATATTTAAAGCGTTTTATTTATTTTTTTTAATTTTTAAATTAATCAACTGATTTTTTTACACTTGTCAACTATGTGGAGATAGTAATTCGAAATACGACTAAGCAATAGCCCAGTCTACCTGGTAAAATGGGGGACCATGGTAGTCAAATTGAGTTGGGTTAAGTTTGCCCAGGCTTAATCTTTATGGCTGGGATAACGATTGGCAGCAAAGAATTGGTTTTGCATTATAGGAAGTAAAGGTCGAATCATATTTAGAATTACTTATAAATATATCTTATGTAAATTGAAACAAAACTTCTCTCAGATATTTATCTTATTAATCATAAATCACGATTAAAAAGTTACTTATAAGTCATTCTAAACAGGCCATAAATAAATGAATTTTATATCATAAAACATGAAAAATATTTAAAAAGTGCTTTCTTTTTTCGATGACAATTTAAAAAATGCTTCTAAGAGGTGCCCAAATCATTAATCAGTGCTTAAATTTCTTTATGGCTCCATTTGGTTCACAGATGAAATGAAGATGAAAACAGAAATAAATTAAATTTAATGTATGTTTGGCATGATAGGAAAAATGGGTGAAAATTATTTTAGGCATGTCATTTAAATTAATTAGGGTTTCAGTTCGGCCACATGGGAGGAAGAATGCATGATCACATGAGAGCTTTTTGAAGGATGTTTTCACACTGCACGGATACAGTCGGTTTCAAAAGTAAATAAAATACTAGCTCCGATCTTTAATATAAGACCTTGTTTGACTTTTATTTTGGTTCTACATATAAGATCCCAATCCACTTTATCTCTCATATTTATATTTTTTTTTCCAAAGTAGCCATTCTAATAATGATAGTTCTAGTCAATACACTTGATTAGTAAAAATATTTTAGGAAAGACAACACCTATTTAAGACAAATAACTAACTCAACTTGCTTCCTTAATCTCCTCAAATTAGTCAACTGGCTCTTATAATTAGAATCGGAGGTGGTAGTAATTTTTATTGTTTTCTTTAATTTTCTGCGCTAGTTGTGATTTTAACAAAAAAATGCTGGTGCAAGCCATCTTGCAAATTACAAAAGCCTAACACCACAATAACTTATTTACCTAAATGTCATTACATGCACCCTCTACATCAATTCCTTTACAACCAATATAAAAAAACCTGTTATAAACAGCCCTTTTGTACTAATGTTATGACAAATTTAACATTAACAACATAAAATTATAAGTCTAAGGTCACTAATAATTAGATAATTAATACTCTTTTGGTTTTAAATATAAGATCTATTTTATAGTGTAATTTATACTATAAAATGGATTTAATATTTACGATTAGAGAGAGTAATAATGAGCGGGGCTGTCAACAGTGCCTAAAAATTTTAACTAAAATGATAGTCAAGTTTTAAAGATGAACTTACTGTTTGGTCTAAGGAAGGAGAGGAAAGGTCAGGCATTTAATTATATCTTGTCTAGGCTAGTTAGAAAGGATAGGGAAAAGAAGAATTTTAATAATACTTTACTTGGATGGAAAGGGAACAGCCACATCTTTGTCTTATATTCATGTGATATAGTAAGAAGGATAATTTGAAAAAATTTAAACAAACATTAGGGCATGACCAAAAAAACCCACCCTTCCAGATCCATCCATCTTGGAGAGAAGGGGAGGAAAAATTCCCCTCATAGAATATGAGAAAATATATATTAATGATAAGTTTTTTAAGAACAATAATCAATTTCTGACAAAAACAAAAGAAGAACAATAATCAATTATAAAGAGGTATATTTGCCTAGGATTAGAGCTTGCACCCTCCTCTTGTAAATGCAAGAGATTTATGATGTTATTATACCATCAGGCCACTAGGAATTTAATAATAATTAGGTCTTCATATAATTTCTAATTGCAAATTGTAAAGAAATGGTTGAAATCTATGTAAGACTGCAAATAAAAGAGTGTTAGTTGTAAATAATTATTGAGACCTAAATTAAATTGGTCTTTTTCTGACCCAATAGTTACTAAACTCTATCCCTTTATTAATGGTCCCAAATTGTAATTCAGGGTGATGATTTTTTTTTTTTTTTTTGGGCAAAATGTCAATTTCTCGCCCAGAATCCTACTTTAAGATATAAAATGTACATTATTTTAAATTGCATGGGTGCTAGACATTGTACAACCTGTGGAGGCATTTCATTCCTGTTGTTGATTCCTCGCTGAGGGAGAAAGCCATCCCGGATAGGAGTCAATCCTCACCACTATCAATACCGCTTCCAGTAATGGCTTCAGCTTCACTAATCAATTCGTTGACCTCTCCCTGCAAAACCGATCCTTTCCGAGCTTCTGCCACAACTCCCTATCGGTCGGGCAGCAGCACATGGCTCAGGCTTGGATTCGGCACTCGTTATCGGAGTGCAAGCCAAGGGGCCACTTCACCTTTCTTCGTTACCTGCAAAGCCGTGTCTGTGAAGCCGCAAGCGGAGATCGAGGCTCTCAACATTGCTGAAGATGTTACCCAGGTCACATAACAGGGCATTTGATTCTGGATTTGCGAATATTTCATTCTTAATTTATTTGCTTTCGCTTTATCTTTTGCAGATTGTCATTTTTGTTTGATGGCCGTTTATTGAAATTTCAGCTAACTAGTATCTATTGCAGATTTTGATAATCCAACAGGCCTAACTAGTATGTTTTTAGAAAATGGAAATCAAGAAAAATTTAATCCTCTGTTTGATGTTTGTGTTTTGCTCTGGCACAGCTTATAGGAAAAACTCCAATGGTGTATCTGAATAATATTGTCAAGGGTTCATTGGCAAATATTGCTGCCAAGCTTGAGATCATGGAGCCGTGTTGCAGTGTCAAGGACAGGTAGGAGGATGAATGTTTTCAATTCAAGCTCGTAAGATATATTTGTAGCTTGCATGTTTACATTATCCGCAACCTTTTTTTTTATTTTTTGGGTCAATAATATCGGTAACCTTAGGGTAACATGATATTATAAAATTTCACTCCTCTCTTTATCACATGGATGGGACTTGTTTTACAGTAAGTTTTAAGCATCAAAATATTAACGATAGCTCTAGGTTAACTACAAGGTAATGAAAGCTTATAAATCATGTATGAGATTGACGCTAATATTTTATGAGCCTGACATCTTGATGATGATTACATGAATTATGCATATTTGAGGCTGAATCAATCTCTAGGCTCT